GTTATTTTCTCCTTTGTAATTACAAATGCTACTAAACGTATATTGAGTCAGGCCTAAATCTGTTATAAGAAAGTTCTAGTCTATGATCTAGTCAATTGCAACAATAAGGTATAGCTTATCATAAGTCTTTGGAGGAAATTGTGCCACACTTGTATTGTAACAGTCCCGTTGAATTCCAAAGGCTGGGTAATGTCACTCAGGATTTTGGTTACTAAGAGTTTTATTGTTGGTCTTTCTATTGGAACTTCCCCTTTGAGAACTCCACGTGTGCACAGGCCCGGTCCAAACCAAACAAGGCCTGTGATTATTTAAAGAAGGTACTTTGACTCCACGGTCCATTCATCCTTTTTGGATACAAAAATAACGTGTTGTTTTATCTATGCATATAAGAATCCTTTTTCAAAGGAAATAAAAAGAGCAGACAGTTTCCTTCCTGGCTAATTCCTGAACCTCTTTACATCTGTTAAACATAGCCACAGACACAACTCGTGTGCTTGGTTTCATTTCCTAAACTCGATTTGACAAGATAGCTCAGCATGAATGGTCCATATGCACCTAACAGGAAAGCAGATCTAAAGCTAGGCAATGTTTTGCAGCTATCAGGGTGATATGAACAATAATTTAGACTCTAGAGCAAGAATCCAATTTAAATTATAAAGTTACTGAGCAGATAACTGCATTTAACTGTTCTAAGTAGCCCCCTAAGATCAAATTTATTCAGTGAGTACTTATTCAGTACTGAAGCTAATTCATGCACACAGGCATTCCTAAATTCCACACACTATCACTTGCAAAAAATTCTTTCTATTCCAAATCATATCCTTATATGGGGCTGGAACTGATCTTCTGGAAACCTCACCACAAGTTATCTTTCCTGTTATGTCAAAGAATGAGCTACATGCCACCTCTTAAGTATTTGAAAGAAAATAGTCATGTTGTCCCACTCTTTGTCTCTTTTCTAAGCTAAGTATCCTCTTCTTCACTATTAGATTATGTTCCTATCCAAATAAATGGCTCCATGTATTAATGCTTCTCATACAAATGAGCACAAGATTTCAGAAGTGTTTTGATGATTACAGATCACCATACTTTCTAAGCAAAGAAGCTGGATGCACTCATGACTGTGGGAGCAGAGGGAGAAAGACAAGAGAGAGCAAGGGAGAAGGCCAACCAGCCACCACCTGAGGGAGGAGAGGCCATGAGTCACAAATTACCAAGTCCCCAGAGAAGTCAAGGCACTAGCCAACAGAAACTTGTTAGAATGATTCAGGCTTTGTTATTGCCAAGATGGATATCCATGTAGAAGGTTCAAAGTTTTCCCATAACTCCTGTCCTGTCTTTTCCTGCCTCATCCACCTGCCAGTGACCACCCACAAGGCTTCCTGTACTCCATATCCAATGGAACACCACTGTCCTTATTAGTAGCATTGTGTAGTCTTTTTTACACCAACTAATGTCTCTGCTTTCCCCTTCGGAGAAGCTCACAATGTTTGTGGATGTGGTTCCTGTGGCCCTTAATCTTTCAGCTAGGTTTTCAGGGCACCCTGAGGTTAGGGATCACGGCTTACACTTCCATATCCTGCATAATCCTGCACAAGTAAGTAAGTTAACCACAAGTTGAGTGTGACTTCTTTCTACTGCTCCAAACCAGTATACTGATATATTTATTTCCTTTTTCTGACACAAAATGGTGGTTTTCTAGATACAGAAGTCCAATAAAAATTTATTGAGCATGCAAAGGCAGAAAATTGAATATTCAACAATGGTAAGCATTGCTTCCAAGGAGCACAGAGGGGAAAATGAGGGAGAGACAGGAGACCAGTGGTAGAGAAAATAACACTAGAGTGAAAGTGGCTCTTGAAGGATCAGTATTGTCCTGGGGGAAAGCAAGTCGGGAAGGAAGGCTGTCCAGACAATAGGAGAAAGACATAGAAATGCAAAGAGGCCACGGGGAGCCTGAGTTTGTCCAGAGTCTCCCAAGTAGTTTAGCTGGAGGATTGGAGACAAGTGGGAAGAGTGGAGAAGGGGATCCTGGAGGACCATGGGTGTCTAAACAAGAGCAATAGACAGTCACTGAGAGATGCCAAGCTGAGAAGTGACACATTGACAAACACCCTTGAGGGTTGGGACTAGATTGTTGAAGGGTGCAAGAAGTAAGCAGGTGGGTTGGCTGACTGAGTTATGATGTCATCTTTTGACAGATCAGGTCATCTGTAAGCAGTCAGAGTACATGATAGAGGCTGCCAGAAATGTTTACACATTACTAGTGACACAGTATTTGTTACACTTGTGTGACTTTTTGGAAAGCATGCTAGTGGGAAAAGGAATCAGTATAAGGAATTAAGATGCACGCAGAGAGGAAACCACAAGAGGATATCTGAGAGTTTTATCATAAGACCTTCCAGACAGCTTCCTTCTCAGGAATGAGAAGAGTACAGGAAGGGTGGAAATACTGTGAGGTTCACACCAGCACGGACTCATGTGTTTGATATGCGACTTCGGCCAGGATATTTAATCTCTCTGAGTCTGTCTTCCCAGCTGCAGACTGGATAACACTATTTATTTCTTTGGAGTCTTACAAGGTTAATAGGTTATGTACAATCATCCTGCCATAACTGTATCTGAAGGGGATTGGTTTCAGGATCCTCAAGGATACCAAAATCTGAGGATGCTTAAGTCCTCCACACGGGATGATGTATTATTTGCTCAGAACGGGCACTTCCTCATGTGTACATCCTCCCCATTCTCTATCATCCCTAGATGATTAATACTAAATACAATGTAAATACCATGTACATAGTTGCTATACTGTATTGTTTAGGGAATCTCATGACAAGAAAGAAAGTCTGTGCATGTTCAAATCGAACACAATTTCTTGTTCTGAGTATTTGCAATCTGTAATTAGTTGAATCTGGGGATTCAGAACCTGCAGATCTAGAGGGTCAACTGTGGTGTTCAGTGTCCAGCACAGTGCTGCCCATAAAGGCATTAAGTAAATGTTTCCTGATGAGTTCTGGGGACAGGGATGGGATACAAAGGTATTGCCAGACACTTCCTGCCTTGGAACTTTTGCAGATCTGTATGGAAGAGTGGTAGCTCCATGCCAACATAGTAATAAAAGGCAGGCTAAAATAGTACTGACTACTAATCCTAGAACCATGGTGTGAGAGAGTGGAGAAAAGAATGAGCATTGGACTAGCTGTTCATCCTGGAAGATGGATATCACAGGTAGAAAGCATGGAAGCTGATCTCAGAGAATAAGAGGTTGGAATTGGGAATGAAGTCTGAGAAAACAGTCCAGGCTATGAATGACCGTCAAGAATGAAGGCCACACTTGGCATTGCGTCGTGAGTCAGACTCAACAATGGCTAGAGCACTGGCTTCAGACCATCCTGGGAGGCTCTGAAGGGCAGTCATATGGCAAACAGAAGGATCACAGATGCCATAAAGCACAAGTTCAAGTGAAGTAGCTTCTGAGAAACCCAGATGGGCCTGGCAGAAAAGGGGAGCTCTACAAATTTGTACAAATGTCTCTGCTTGAGGCCTGCACTTCTCCTAAGCTATCAGACCCCCAGTCATTGCTGACCCACATTCCCTACTGAGGAAGGAGGGAACAGGAAGATGATAAGGCAAGGAGGCCATTATCAAGGTGGGTTGAGGTGAGTCCAAGAAGAGAGTCAAGATTTCACCTCAGGTCTGCCATTGTCTGACTGTGTGATATCAGTCATTTCGTGTCTCTCAGATGTCCATAATAACTGTTCCACATATTTGATGGGGTTTTCATGAGGATGTGGGAGAAACACCTTTTCCTCTGAGGATGAGAGAAGCCACCTTGCTCTTGGCTCTCCTTGGCCTAAATGCAGCCACTCCTGAGGGCCACATCTGAGGACCACATCCATTTGGGAGAAAGAGGTGTTCAAGATCTCGATGTATACTTAATAAGCTGTTTTCTCTATGTGTGAGCACAAGTGTTGGAAGAACATTCTAAAAGGAGTTAGAGGGCACCAGGAATGCTACTCTCAGTTCTTCGGGAAATATAAATTTGTGATTAGAGCAGTTTCAGAGTTTCAGGAGACTGTGAAGTCATCTCCTTGAAGAATGGAGGTGATATTCTGTGGGAGTCTGGGTTCTGCCCTAAAATCTGTAAGGCAAAAAGAACTGAAGGATATTGTCTTGTTCCTGGTTCCTCCCCAGAAGTCCTTGCGTGTCCTGAATGTCCTGAAGAGCATTTTGAAGCGGGCTACTGAACCAGCTCCACCTTTTCATGTCAAAGCTCAGTGTGCCATTGATATTTATATCTGAGAGGCGCCAATTTGATATTTTACGATGCTGTAAATTTTATGTTTTGGATGGTTCTTAGCATTGGAAAATTGAAATTGAAGTCAAAACTATTTTCCAAATGGAAGCCACATGGTCAGAGCCAGAATAACATTTGGCCTCTTTGTATTTTGCTACTCAACAAACTATCTGAGGCCTAGAGGGAGGAAGCACTGAATATTTTTCTTAAATGTGGTTTGTTTATTATGTGTTGCTTCTCGATGATAATATTTTGCACCTATTCATGTTAGAAACCAGCTTAGGAAAACATTTGGGGGAAGCTGCATATGTCCAACTTCTAGGACTCAGAAAAGGGACAAAAAGAACAATTTTGAGTGTGTGGGCCTTCCCCCCACCCCAGCCCCTTTCTTTCTTTTTGGACTGATTTCCTACAGGTGTGGACTGGACCATTCTCGGTGGGTCATTATAATTACAGCCCAGTGGGGAGCCTTTCTTCCGGGAAGTACTTCCCCACTGAGACTGCCAGCCCATTTCTTCACCTTGTGGCTTGCCAGACAGAACCAGAGGGTGCCTTCCCAGAGGGGTGAAGGAGGTCAGGGAAAGGAACAGACTGAGCCAGCCACAGGGGACCAGGAGGTGGGAAGCTAAACAAATAGGGAAGCAGGTGTCTGTGGGGTGGGGAGGGTGGGGGAGTTCTGGTATCACCCCTGGCCACTGTTTACCTTGCACGGTGAGGTATGCCGAGCTTTCTGCAGCTCCCTTCAGGTTGGTGGCTCTGCACTGATAGACACCTTCATCTTCTTCTGTGACTCTTTCAATAAACAGTGTGCTGTTTCCTGGTCCCAAAATAATTCCTGAAGAGGGAGATTTGTTTGGATTAGTGGGCCTGGATGACAAACACAAACAGTTTCCTCTGTGACCCAAGTGTCTTCCTATCCTAAGCATCGCACGGGGACTCTGAGCTCTGTATGACCCAGTGACCCAGGTCGGGCCTGCTTATTTGTTTGCTTGCTGTCAGGTTTTCTACCAGCAATCTTTGCCACCTCACAGAGCTGTGCCCCCAGCACTGGAGCACAGCTATCCCACTGGGGAGAGAGAAACAAGGGAAAGCCACATATCCCATTTTAAAGTCACGTTTATCAGGGAGCTGCAGATCTGATAACAACTCCATTTACCCCGGCCCACCATGCACTCCGCAACACACCATTCATTTCCAACACACCTTGACTCTCACCACACTGGAAGGTGTGGTGGCCTCCCTCTTACACATAAAGACACTGAAATTCCCCAAGGTCAAGTAACTCACCCAAGGGCACAGAGTTTAACCCAAAGCACACTGTGGCATGGAGTCAGAGGAAATCGTGATTCCTTCGTCGTGTGTGTGGTGAGGGGGCATAGCACAGGGGTTTAGAGCTTGGGCTGTGTTTGAATGCACGCCTTACCACTACAGGCCTGGTGACTTTAGGCAAATAACTTATCCTTTCTAACTTTCAGTTTCCTCAATCTGAAGACAAAAATGGGAGCGGTTCCTAATCAGTACATGTGAAAACAGTTGAAAGTGCATGGCATTTAGTATTAAATACCACAGAGCACGGTTTGATGGAAGGAAGACCATGAACTTCCAAACCCCTGAGAGAAGACCCAGTCACTTCAACACCGAGTACTATCACCAAGTACTTATTGTCATTTACTTTGCCATCAGTCTGAGTTAGAGATTTTGGGTAGCAGGCTAAGAGGTGGTATTTGTTGAGGAGAAAAAATTAATATGCCAAACACTCACATATCTATTCCCTTTCTGTTCTGTCTCTAAGAGGGGGAGCCAACAAGAATGGGATAAGTAATCAGGGAAGGCTACACAGAGGAGGAGGCTCTTGAGCCAAGGTTTGAAGGATTATCAGCTGTGAGGTAAGAAAAGAAGTCATGAGAAAGGCATGATGTGGAAACGAAGATGCTCATTTTGGGATAGTGAGGAAATAGGCCTGACCAAACTATACACTGTATTTTGTTAGTTTAAATAGTTAGTATTTCCTTGACTACAAAAGATGCACCAAATACAGAACATTTGAAAGTCTAGAAAAATGCAAAAAAGAAAGACCAATCAAAAACACCTATAAGCATACCTCCCAGATGTTTCATTAGTCTGATTTTTTGTTTGTTTTTGGTGAGACTGGGGATCAAACTCAGGGCTTTGCACTTGCACAGCAGGCACGCAGGCATTGTACCTCTTGAGCCATGCCTCCAGTCCATTTTGCTCTGGTTGTTTGGAGAGGATCTCACCAACTATTTGCCTGTGCTGCCCACAAACCATGATCCTTCTGATCTCAACCTCCCAAGTAGCTAGGATTACAGGTGTGAATGGCCTGTGCCCTGTACTTTTTTCTGTTTGTTTTTTCAGTGCTGGGGATCAAACCCAGGGCCTTGAACATGCTGGGCAAGTGGTCTACCACTGAGCCATGCCCCCAATTCCTTTAGTCTCATTTATTTATTTATTTACTTATTTTTGAGATTTTGTTTCTCTTTATTTCATCCAGTTCAGATACCTATCTTATTGAGAACAGAAAGGGTAATTATTGACAAAGTTACTAGTTTGAAATCAAATAATTAGGAATTTTTAAATTAAATTGCATAAAAACAGTATACAAAAAATTAATAATAGGCAGATTAGTGTGGCTATCAATAAGCACCAGCCAGATATATGAGTTGATTCAGTCCAAGGTTGCCTAAAATTTACTGTAATTTTTATTTTGCATATTCAATTTGAAAATGTATTAAGGTTCACTCAACACCTTTGCTCTTCTTGCATACAACTATTGTCTAATCTTTTGCAGTAACATATATCTTAAAAACAATGAATTAGAGCAAAGTTTCAGGCTAGTGGAGTGGCTCAAGCTGTAGAGTGCCTGCCTAGCAAGCATGAGGCCTTGAGTTCAAACCAGCACCATAAAAAAAAAAAAAAGAAAAAAAGACTAAATAAAGTTGCTTTCATGAGCAATGTGGCTTGTGACCAGAGCACACATCTTTTTTTTTTTTTAATTTTTTATTCATTTATTCACATGTGCATACATTGCTTGGGCCATTTCTACCCCCTGCCCCCCATCCCCTCTCTCTCTTCCCATCCTCCCTCACTTCCAGGCAGAACCTTTTCTGCCCTTTTCTCCAATTTTGTTGAAGAGAAGACATAAGCAATAATAAGAAAGATAAAGCGTTTTTGCTAGTTGAATTAAGGATAGCTATACAGCATTGTTTCCATGTACAAATGTGTTACAACCTGAATTGATTCCTCTTTACCAGACCTTTTCACTAGTTCCTGATCCCCTTCTCATATTGACCTCTGTTGCTTTAAGGTTACTGTATTAGCTCCTCTGCAGTGGGACACCAAACACTTTCAAGTATTGGATTTCCTACCTATCCCCATTCCTCCCACATGTGCTCTCCCCTTGTCATGTGATCCAAGTCCAACAACATTGCTGGTTTTGACTTAGATCTAAAGTCTGCATATGAGGGAGAACATATGACTTTTGGTCTTCTGAGCCTAATTAGCCTCTCTCAGAACGATGTTCTCCAGTTCCATTCATTTACTTGAAAATGATAAGATTTCATTCTTTTTCATGGCTGAGTAAAATTCTATTATGTATAAATACCATATTTTCTTAATTCATTTGTCAGTAGTGGGGCATCTTCCATAACTTGGCTATTATGAATAGTGCTGCAATAAACATGGGTGTTCAGGTGCCTTTGGAGTAACCTGTGTCGCATTCCTTTGGGTATATTCCTAGGAGTGGGATTGCTGGTCATATGGCAGATCAATGTTTAGATTTTTAAGAAGCTTCCATATTTTTTTCCAGAGTGGTTGCACTAGCTTGCATTCCCACCAGCAGTGTACAAGGGTTCTTTTTTCTCCACATCCCCACCAACACCTGTTGTCGGTGGTGTTTTTGATGATGGCTATTCTAACAAGGGTGAGGTGGAATCTTAGTGTGATTTTGATTTGCATTTCCTTTATGGCTAGAGACGGTGAGCATTTTTTCATGTGTTTTTGGCCATTTGAATTTCTTCTTTTGAGAAAGTTCTGTTTAGTTCAGTTGCCCATTCCTTAATTGGTTCATTGATTTTGGGAGAGTTTACTTTTTTAAGTTGCCTGTGTATTCTGGTTATCCGTCCTTTGTCTGATGTGTAGCTGGCAAATACTTTCTCCCGCTCTGTGAGTGGTCTCTTCAGCTTAGAGACCATTTCTTTTGTTGTGCAGAAGCTTTTTAATTTTATGAAGTCCCATTTGTCCATTTTTTCTCTTAGTTGCTGAGCTGCTGGGGTTCTATTGAGGAAGTCCTTGCCTATACCTATTTCTTCCAGAGTATTTCCTGCTCTTTCCTGTATTAACTTCAGAGTTTCGGGTCTGACATTAAGGTCCTTGATCCATTTTGAGTTGATCCTAGTAAAGAGTGATAAACATGGATCTAGTTTCAGTTTTTTGCAGACAGACAACCATTTCTCCCAGCAACACTTGTTGAAGAGGCTGTCTTTTCTCCATCATATGTTTTTGGTGCCTTTGTCAAAAATGAGGTGGGCATAGCTGTGTGGATTCATATCCGGGTCCTCTGTTCTGTTCCACTGGACTTCATGTCTGTTTTTGTGCCAGTACCATGCTGTTTTTGTTGTTATTGCGTTGTAATATACTTTGAAGTCGGGTATTGTGATACCTCCAGCATTGTTCTTTTTACTGAGTATTGCCTTGGCTCTTTGCCATCTCTTGTGTTTCCAAATGAATTTTAGGGTAGATTTTTCAATCTCTGTGATGAATGTCATTGGGTTTTTGATGGGAATTGCATTAAACACGTAGATTGCTTTTGGTAGTATAGCCATTTTTACTATGTTGATTCTAACAATCCATAAGAATGGGAGACCTTTCCACCTTCTGTAGTCTTCCTCGATCTCTTTCTTCAGGGGCTTGTAATACTCCTTGTAGAGGTCATTCACATCCTTTGTTAAGTTTACTCCTAGGTATTTGATTTTTTTTGAGGCTATTGTAAATGGAATTGTTTCCATATATTCCTTCTCAGTTTGTTCGTTGATGGTGTATAGAAAAGTTAATGATTTTTGTAAGTTGATTTTGTATCCTGCAACTTTGCAGTAGCTGTTTATGGAGTCTAGGAGCTTCTGAGTAGAGTTTTTTGGGTCTTTAAGGTATAGGATCATATTGTCAGCAAGTAGGGATATTTTGACAGTTTCTTTACCTATTTGTATTCCTTTTATTCCTTCTTCTTGCCTAATTGCTCTGGCTAGGAATTCCAGTACTATGTTGAATAGGAGTGGGGATAGTGGGTACCCTTGTCTCATTCCTGATTTTAGGGGAAATGTTTTCAGTTTTTCACCATTAAGTATGATGTTGGCTGTAGGTTTGTCATATATAGCTTTTATAATGTTGAGGTACTTTCCTTCTATTCCTAGTTTTCTTAGAGCTTTTGTCATGAAATGGTGTTGGATCTTATCAAAGGCTTTTTCTGCATCTATTGAGATGATCAAGTGGTTTCTGTCTTTGCTTCTGTTAATGTGGTTTATTATGTTTATTGATTTTCGTATGTTGAACCACCCCTGCATTCCTGGGATGAAGCCTACTTGGTTGTGGTGAATAATCTTTTTGATGTGTTGTTGAATTCGGTTTGCCATTATTTTGTTGAGGATTTTTGCATCAATCTTCATGAAGGAGATTGGCCTGTAGTTTTCCTTTTTGGAGGTGTCTTTGCCTGGTTTTGGGATAAGTGTAATACTGGCTTCATAAAATGTGTTAGACAGTTTTCCTTCCCTTTCTATTTCATGGAACAGCTTAAGGAGGGTTGGTATCAGTTCTTTAAAGGTC